GGCTGAATTGCACCATATGCCAGTAACCAATAGGTCCAATCCAAGGGATTTCCTCCGTCCCGCTTCGGTGGTCCGTGACAGTAGCCAAAAGCGTGCTACAGGCTAAAATCAGTCACGTGCGTAAGGCCCACTAGATGAGACGTGTCAAGGCTCGAGAACGTCAACCACGTTCGTGACTAAGTAATAAAGGATTCAGTAATGTAATACCTTGATATTGATTTTGATATCTTCCACAAACATTATCCCTGCATTCCTTAATAATACAACGTTGTTGTAATAAATTTTCTCAAAAAAAGAAAAAATTTCTCAAAAACGTTGTTGTAATAAATAAGGGAAAAAAATGCAGTATGAATCTCGCATTTTTAAAAGTAATTAGTGTTTTAATTTTAATTTATATTATTTTATTTAATTTAAATTTTAAAATTTTATTTTATTAAATGTTAATGTTTAGATTTAAAAATTAATTAAAATTTTAATTTCTAAATATAAAGTATAATGTTTATTTTTTTTAAGGTTTTTTCCAACATGTACAACCATAAGTTAAGATTATCTTTCTAACAATAATTGTTATTAAAAAATAACATTTAATATTTATTTAATCAATTGTTTAATAAAAATAATATATGTAATATTAATGATAAAATTAATATCTATTTTTATTATTTTCTATATTAATTAATAACAAACCTTTAAAAAAAACATAAAGGTGCAAATTAAGTAATTTTTAAAAAACCAAGATTAATATACATTCATCTCAATATATGGTAACCTTATTTTAAATAACAATAAAATAAATAAATAAATAAAGCCCTGAAGAAGTAAGCTGCCACGTGAGCCCAGTGGAATCCCTCGGGCTAGTGCCACAACTCCATTCCCGACTTTCACTATCGCCACTCCGGTGCGTTTCGTTCGTCTCGTTGCCCTTCTTCACGACTCTATAAATTACCTGTTAACCTCGCACCACAAGAAACTGCAACCCTTGTCGTCTCTCCTTCTCTCGCAACCAATTGGCTGATTCCCATAGGATTTCTCTTTCTAAAATTTTTTTTTTCTTGATTTCATCCCGTTTTGTTGGAGGGTTTCTGTGGGATTCTGCTCTCTGTTATCGCATATATTTTATATACAACTGTAAGTTTATGAAAATTTAGGATTCTTGTTATCTCTCCTCGTTCAAGATTGTTCAAAACGGGTTTCTTTTTTTTTCTTTTTTTTTCTCAATTAATTCATGGGTCGATTTCGATCTCCCAGAAACTTCAGATTTGATACCTGCGATTGAATGGTCTGTAAAGTGATCAACGCCGGTATCAATTTTGATCAAATCATGGCGGAAAATTTCGTCCCTGTGAAAGAAACTAACTGGGATTTTTATGGTTGTTGCTAATGTTGCAGCCAGCGTGGATGATTTAATAAGGATGAATGGTGGTAAGCAGAAGTCTAGTAGCAGTAGTAGTTCTTTACAGTACGAAGTTCCCCTCGGCTACAGCATTGAAGACGTTCGCCCCAACGGTGGCATCGAGAAGTTCCGATCTGCTGCTAACTCCAGCGTAACATTCTCAAATATCGAGAAAATACTCCTCTCCCTTGATTTGCATTATTTACATTGTTCTAACAATTGCTTGTTTGGATTTCTTTTTCTTCTTGTTGCAGTGCGTGAGGAAACCATCCTGAGATCGTCCCAGCAAAATGTCCCCTTCTGTCTTAGACTAGGATTTCTTAATTGGTCTTTTTTTCTTCCTTTTTTTTTTTTTTTTTTTTCTCCAGTTTTCCGTTCTTAGGCCTTAGCACCCAAAAACAACAAAACTTCCAGCAACATTGGAGCAAAAGCCCTGTTTAGTTTTAAGCAAAATGGACTCATCACCACCTCCTTCCCCAATCGGGTTTGAAGGCTTTGAGAAACGTCTCGAAATCACCTTTTCACATGGATCCATTTTCCAAAACCCTAGCAGGCTTGGGCTTCGATCATTATCTCGGGCCCAGCTCGACTCCATCCTCGAGCCCGCCTGCTGCACCATTGTCTCCCACCTCTCCAACGAGCACTTCGACTCTTATGTTCTCTCAGAGTCTAGCCTCTTTGTTTACCCAAACAAGGTCATCCTCAAAACCTGCGGCACCACCAGGCTCCTCCTCTCCATCCCACCAATCCTCAAATTTGCTCATTCTTTGTCATTCACTGTTTATCGCGTCAATTACTCCCGTGGCTTCTTCATCTTCCCCGAGTACCAGCCAGCCCCTCACCGCAGCTTTTCCGAGGAAGTTGCTCTGTTGAATGAATTCCTCGGAGACCTAATCTCCAAAGCTTATGTGATCGGTGATCCGAACTTTCCCAATCGGAGCTGGCACATTTACTCAGCCGTAGCGGGAGCAGGGAAGCCATTGATGAACGGCGACGAGGACGACGTGGCCACTCTGGAAATTTGCATGACAGGATTGGATAGAGAAAAGGCCGCCGTGTTTTTCAAGAGATCGGGGAATTATTCGGCAAGAGAAATGACGAAACTCTCCGGGATTTCTGATATAATCCCGAGTCACGTGATTTGCGATTTCGAGTTTGACCCATGTGGATACTCCATGAACGGGATCGAGGAATCTGCTTATTCCACCGTGCACGTGACCCCAGAAGATGGGTTCAGCTACGCTAGCTACGAGGCCATGGGGCTTGACACCGGATCAGTTAAATTAGAGGGTGTGGTTGGTCGGGTGCTGAAATGCTTCTGGCCAAGTGAATTTTCTGTTGCAGTCACGTGCCGTGGTGAGTCCCGGCGGTGGGCTGTGGAGGGCGGTGACGTGGAGGGGTACACATGCGAGAACACTGTGAATCAAGAGCTGCCAGGTGGGTGGTGCGTGGTGTATCGGAACTACACGATGAAGAACATAGGATGCCGCGTCCGGACATCGTCTAGGGTGAACATGCAGTGCTGGAAGGAGGCGGCGGTGGAGGAGGAAGAAATGGGCGGCGCCGTCGTTTGTCCTTTTGTGTCGCCTTAAAACAATAAGTAATTAAGTACTCGATATTTCCGTTTGTTGTCATTTTATTTTTCTTTCGGCATTATGTAATTTTTATTTTATTATGCTCTTTTTGGTTTATGGGCTTTTGTTTAGGCCCAGACTGGAACTGGTTTTTGCTTTTTAAGATTGAAAAGCCAATGGAAATTTTAAAGCCCAAGTTTTCTAGTAGTACCGTAGTCCTTTTTTAGAGATGACTCTGCTTTTGTGTTTTTCTCCCATTTCAAGTACCTGAACTGGAGCACGATTTAAGAAAAATTGCATCAATTGGCAGAAAGGGGAGTGTACATTTCAGGTACTCTGATAAAGTAGGAAGAGGAAGCAGCACAATAAATGCAATTGGGTCCCCTCAGCATTAAATGTTACCAATTCACTCAGTTAGATCTCAATTACCTAAGTTGATGCAAGTGTGAACCACAGCGTTGCATTTAAAATTTGAAAACATGGCCATATTAAGGTGGGGTAGTAAGTAGGGGAATTGACCCTTTGGGGCTTGTTTAGGCTACCCAACAAAACAGAGAAACTACAGCCTGAAGAAGCAGAGATGCAATTTTTGGAATTGTAATCGAGACAGATATGTTGCCTACTGATGAACTATCCGCTGTGTTTTTTTTTTTAACTGGTAGTGTTGCATTTGCATGACATCCGGAGATCTAAGGATTAAATATGGTATTTACAATATTACCAAAGCAATGGTAGAATTGTAGAATCCAGTCTTCTCCTGTTTCTGTCGTAACTCAGGCAAGTTCATGTGATTTTGGGCTGACAGCATTAATTTTAAATGAGTTGGTCCCCTATTAAAAAAAAAAAGGGTAGGGACTTGGTCCCATTCCCTTATCTTTCTTTTCCGGCCTACACTCAACAGGGGGTTGGTCCATTATGTCACAAGTTGGGTTTAGCACCAAATGAAGGAACAATCAGCCATGTAACTTGTGTAAACATATTTGTGAGACTGAGTGCACTAAATTTCGGAGCATTTTATCCGGAAAAGGAAAAGAGAACTTGTAAGGTAATTTTTGTACAAGTTTCTTTTTTTACTTTGATATTTATTTGCCGAGAAGGTATCAACCTCTACGAAGGGTTTTTTTTTTTTTTTTTTTCTTCATGATTATCATTTCAAAGTCCACTTAAAATCAAATATCACTTTCCACTTATGCAACAATAACATAGTAATATTGAGGAAGAGTTAGGATTCACATATGAAAGAGGTTTCAAAATAAGATATTTTGAATTTAAGTTACATGATAAATAAATGTTATGAGTGTAGTTTAAGGGAAAAAAAAAGTTATCTTTCTATTATGTAACTGAAATAATATAATATAATAATAATAATATCTTCTAAGTCGTTCTTAATGAAACTTGATAGGAGCAAAAGTTAAACATGAAAACAGAAGGAAAGCAGAGAGCCAGAATATAATAGGTTATAAAATGCAGAGAATGCAAAATGAAAGTTGAAATATTGCCAATATAGTTAGAGCGGTGGTTTTCTCTCATAATCAACTTTTTCCCTGGAAACAACTATTAATTGGAGGTCCTACAAAGGCTATGAAAACAAGCCTGCCAATGCCAAAAACTTAGAAACACAAAAACAATTCCAGTTTCACGTGCATACCAAAAACCAAAAGGAGGAACCCCAAATAGCCAGTGCACCTTGACAGGACACTTCCATGAAACACCCCCCTCCTTCGTCACTAAGACCTCAACTTTGTTGTCTTTCCCTCTGTTTTTCTTGCTCAGTCCTTAACAATAAAAATATAGACAGCAACTGGTGTACCCCCAGCAAGCTATGTCCCCAAGTGCCCCCATACACCACCAGTTTTCAGTGTTTCCCTGTACCTCTTCTTGTGCATTTGTCACCTCACGTCCTCATCCCAAAAACCCACTAGATAAAATTCCAAAACACCCATAAACAGACCATTAGGAGGAATCCAAACCACAAGAACAGAAGCATACCCATCCAAAATTTATCTTCTAAAAGGAAATGTCATAAACATAATTTCTTTCTCTTTTTTTTTTTTTCTTTTTTCTAGACAATACTACTTCTTGAAGTTTGTATACATGGGTTTAGAGAATTAAAAAAAAAAAAAGGGGGGGGAAAAACATTGATTACAGTAACATAAAAAAGTTCACACATTTCCCTAGAAGATGTACAGTAAATTACAGGGGGTAATACAATAAAACAGTGTAGAGCATTCAAGTCTGCATCTTTTCCTAATTTACTTTACTCACCAACTCCATGAAGGGAATTAGCTACCTTTTCCTCCCTAATTAGTGCATAATTTAGCTAACCCTCTTCCATGTTGCTTTCTTTGTTTTTGATGGGGGGATTGCTTGGGGAAACAAGCAAAGACACAAAACTGGCTTAAGACCAAAAGACCAAGTTAGTGTCACTAACTGAAAAGATCAAAGGGGGCCAACATTGCCGTTGCTTTATCAAGCCAAAAATAAAGAGCAAACAGTAAAAAAGAACTAAAAAAAAAAAAATTATATCATAACATTAAAGAGATTGAGCCGTCCCGCCAATATCACCGCCACCACCCTCCGTCACCGAAGGCCAAAGAAGCAGAATGTGGGAAACAGAGCTTGGTGCAAAGATCGGACTTCGCATGAGCCCTGGATACCCATTCCCTTCGCAGAAATCCTCATGGGAAAGCCCAATCTTACTTCAAATTTCCATGTAAAAGCAGCACTCACAATCTCCACCATATTCTACCAGCTTTGAAGCCAACCCCCTTAGTCTCTTCTCCTCCTCCTCCTCCTCCCACCACCCACCACCACCACCACCCTGTCATCATTTTTAAAACAGAAACAATAATCAAAACAAACAGAAAATGAGCAAAAAAGAGAGAACATGAAACATGAGTTTAACTAGTTCTTACAATTTCTTTCTTCTCTTCTCTTCTGATGAGCAACTAGAGAAAAGAAAAATGAGAGGGTTTGGGTTGTTTTCTAGGAAGTTAGTTCTTGTAAAGACATAATGAGGCCAAAGAAAATAGGTATGGGGGAATGGCGTGTGTTGTTCGGTTGGGGCATTGGGTTTGCAATTTTGCCTTAACCATACCCCCCAATCCCCACTTTCTCTTTTACTTGTCCCAGAAGCCCCAGATTAGCTAGATTTGCGCAAGCAACCTCTGTCCTTTTTTCTTTCCCTGCCTACCCTTCATCATTTTCAGTAATTCCAATCTTACCCCCATTTCCAACGTTCCAAAAAATTCATGTTTTCAAGTAATAAAAGGTGTACTGTTTTGCTATCCAAATAGTTTGAATTATAAACTTTTTTTAATAAATAATATGTAACATTTCATAATTTAATAAATATTTAATTTAGAATTTGAACAATAATTTTTAATTATTGTTTTTAACTAAATGAATTATATACTTTTAAATTATAAATAATAATTATTATTTATTGAATTAACTACATCAAAATAATTAATTTAAAAACTCATAGA